GAACTCTGTGATGAATAATTTACAATAACCCATCAAAAGATGCTGATTTAGCTCATTAGGTTAAATAAAGAAAAGGGAAGTCTTTTAAAAAGACATTGATTTGGTTAATTTAGGTCCCTGAAGCAGGGAACTCAAACACGTGCGGTGACATCAGCAGTTTAATAGGCACTGACTTAGAAGACGCTTGCTTAGTTAAAAAAAAAAGGGAACGCCCTTCATTCAGCAAATAACGTCATTAACGGCTTTAAATATTGACTGCAGCTGAAACCGACAGGCACTCGAGGGGATTCTGATGAAATAGTGAGCAGCAAAACCACTCGTGCAAAACCTGGTGCTCAATTCTATGTCATAATTGCTGCAATCATCATCATCTTCATTTATAGAGCTTCTTACAGGCATGAGGCATGCCACCAAAGTGCTGCACAGTAACAAAGTAAAGCTGATAAAATCACCCAAGACACTTAAAACCAACAAGTTAAAAACAGAATGCAATCATGTAAACAATCAACAACATCTAACTTAGAGAGTTAAAAGCCAAACCATAAAAGTGGGTATTCAACCTTGTTTGAAAACCTGATGGAGAGAGCCTTACAGATCAGGGAAGTGCATTCCACAGTTTTGGTCCTACTGCGGAGAACGCCCTTTCATCTCTCATCTTTAGCTGAGCTCTAGCAGCCACCAGCAGCAGCTGGCTCTCAGAGCGGAGCATTCAAGCAGGGACATAAGGCTTCACCAACTCCATCAAATAAGCTGGAGCCAGTCCGTTCAAACCCTTAAAAACCGTTAAAAGGAATTCTGAAATCCACAGGCAGCGGTGAAGAGCAGCCAGAACCAGGGGCGTGTCCAGGGAGTTGCCTGGGGTAGCACATGCCACCCTTGGAAGCTGATTGGCCACCCCAAGTGCCACCACACTAATTTACCTTTAAATAGGCTTTTCATTGTCCACAAAAGGCTTGGCGGTAAAATTAAAGAAAAGCATAACCATTGGTGCCACCCATGCACAAAGTTGTGCCTCACCTGGTCACCTGGGCCACCCCATTTTAAAAGATCTGGACACGCCACTGGCCAGAACAGGTATGATGTGATCAAACTTTCTTTTGTCAACCAAAAATCTCGCTGCAGCATTCTGAACGAGCTGCAGACGAGCTACTGTACCCTGACTTACCCCAAATAAGACAGAATCACAGTAGTCTAGTCACGAGGTTATAAAAGCATGAACCACAGTTGCAATGTGTTAGATTGACTAGAGGTCGTAGAAGGAAGGTTGCAGGATTAAAGACCAACAATGTTAAATCAGAGATGTCCTCTGAGTTAGGTCGTTCCCCCAAAACCCTAGCAACTCTGTGCAGATCCTTCCTCCTGACATCCGTGGTAATGCCTGACATCCGTGATCACGTCTAATAGATAAGACTTTAAGCCCTTTCTCACTAATCCATTCACATGCAATGAAGCCGAGGGTTGAAATTGCTGCTACATGCACCCGTTTTTGTCTTCTTACGCTCCAAACAACTTCTCTCGTAGAGGTAGGGTGCACTGTACGAACGTGTCATTTTTAAACACTAAAATGGGTTTGGAGTGAAAATGTTCTGCGCAAAGCTCCTTTGAAGTATCAAGTGTCAAGCAACGTGCATAATCCCTGAGCATGTTAAAGACAGAGGGAGAGCGAGTGAAGAAGAGGAGCTGAGGCAGGGAAGTAATTAAAAGATGGGAGGTTAAGGATGGACTTCATGGCTCGGTTGTTATCGTTCACTCTGCTCAAAGCTGCTCTTGGAAAATTAGCATAGAGCGACTAAGCTGGTGTCTTCTGCTGCATGTTAAAGTGTGAATGGAGTGTGCTGCAGGACAAAGTTAAATGCTTCTGGTTTTTTTTTTTAAGTATTTTTCTCAGACGCCTTTCTGGTGAAAAATTCTTAGAATTACAACTTTATATGTTTCAAAGGTTTATTTTGACAGTTTAACTGAAGTTTATGCAGAACATCAATATTTGCAGGGTCGGTTCCTCTCCTAGACCTCAGCAATTCACCTTTGGTATACTGACATTTATGGAGGACACTTCCTGCCAAAATAGATCCATCCATCCACTCTCCTCCACTCATTCGAGGTCGGACCATGGGGGCAGCAGCCTTAGATGAGGCCCAGGCTTCCCTTTCCTCAGCTACTTGGACCAGCTTCTCTGGGGGAGTCCTAAGGCGTTCCCTGGCCAGCCGTGAAACATAGTCCCTCCAGCTTGTCCCGGGTCTCCTTTTAGTTCTCCTCACAGCTGGATGTGCCTGGAAAATCTCACCAGGGAGGTATCCAGTAGGCGTCACAGCCAGATGCCTGAGCCACCTCCACTGGCTCCTACCAATGTGGAGGAACAGCTGATCTACTCCAAGCTTCTCACCCTATCTCCAAGGAAGAGCCCAGACACTCTAAGGAGAAAACTGTTTTGGCCGCTTGTATCCACAATTTTGTTCTTTCTGTCACTACCCAAAGCTCGTGACTGTAACGTCCCGGAAGGGTCATAGGTGACCAATAAACCGAGAGCTTCGCCTTCCAACTCAGCAGGAGCAACACTCATCGAAACACCAGTTCATGGAACTGTGAGATGAACAGCCTCAGCTCTCTCTTCACCACGAGAGACCAAAATCGACAATAACTAAAAATTAAGAAATAAAATGACAATCAATTTTGAAATTAAAAGTCATTGTGGTGTAGTGTAGACAATCTACATACTAGAATTAACGCTGTTTGCTATCAGCTTTGTTAGATTCTGAGAAAGATCAGACAAATTAGCATATGAAGCTTCTATCATGTATAAATATCCAGGATATTTATACAATCGATAGAAGTTCATACACCAACTGTCTTGGTCTATATTTAATCCAAAGATTAATATTTAATTTAAGAAATTTAATTAACAGCAAAAGTTTATTTATTAAACAGAAGACTTAATGGAATCTTTGCTTATTCAATAACCAAATATACACCATTCTGTGTTTCATTTCAAAGAAGAGTCAGGTTTAAAAAGTTAAGAATTTATTACTAACAATTTAAAGAAGAAAATTAAAAAATGACAATTTATAACAGCTTTGATATTAAAACTTGGTATCAAAAGCAAACCTGTGTCTGAACGGAAACTAAGGTGGAATGCGTATTTTGGATGCGTGAATGGATCTCAGAAGATTTCTTTCAGAGAGAAACCCAGTATCTTCACTCCTCTCTCCGTTTTTAACTCCCAGCCTACACAGTAAAAATATACACGACTTCAGTCCCAATTTTTTAAAAGCTGAGCTAAACAAGAATTCCCAAAAAGTAAAAAATAATAATAATAATAAATAAAAATATACAAAGCATCATGAAAATACTCATATTAGACAACTTTAACCATTTATGATGACCATTGTTTTAATCATTGCTGAGAAAATATTTATTTTAGTGATTATTTGTAAATTTAGATCATCTCAAATGCCCAAATTTAGCATTTTAAATCTTGGGGATATCAAGGAAAGCCAAACATCCTGCATGCCACCTGGAATATAAGTAAATGACTTATTGCAGTCCATGCGGTTATCAGTTATATTGATTATAATACACACAAATATTTGGATATATTGTGCAGAAGCCAGTGCAGAGTAAAGATAAATCAGCAAGGCTATGCTTATGTTAGTGGATTACTGGATTTGGATAATCTGTGCTGACAAAATTACCTATTAGGGTAAATGGTGCATGCTGCCCCAGAGGCGCTGGGGTTCTGCAACGCTCAGCAAAACACCTAGTTCATATAACTGTGTGAGATGAACAGCCTGGTCGCTACAACATGACCGACCACAATCAGCAGCATTAACCATAAAAGCTGCACACTTCACAGAAACGCCTCCAGGCCCAAATGATGCACGCGCGACTGAGAGCATGAACAGAGCCGAGGAGCTGCTAAACATCTACGAGTGGGGGGTGGAACTGGGAGAAAAGAGAAGGGTGCAGCTTGGGGAGGGGTGGGTGGGTGGGTATTTGGTTTGGACTTGACTATTTTTGTCTAGATCGCATGAAGACAGCAGTTTCAGATACTCCCTGCAGTTTTCAATCATCAGCAAAGGTTCAAATGTACTTTGATTTTGTGCGTTTGAATAATTTTTTTTTAAAAGACCCTTTTTGCTATTCATGCTTTTATGGAGGCCAGTTGTGGAAGTGGGTGCAGAAAATCTCATAAGCTCATCCGCTTTAGCTGAAAGCTCTGGAGCAGCCTGTGTGCTTCTGTAATCTGCCGCTGGGTTCCATTGTAACACTTTACCTGAGACAGACAAAACACACGCCCTTCAGCAGCAATGCTGCCACCAGAACACACCACTTACAACCGACTCCATCCCTAAACACACACACACCCATTTCCTCGTCGTCGTTCATATCAGCAGGAAAACCAAATGTGGGCTCGACTATTTTAGCAGGTGTTTGTTACAGGTCACGTACTTTCACCCCAGCATTCCTTTGGGTCTTCAAAGCGAGCAGCACTTCCGCAACATATTCAGAAAGAGGCAGAAGATAAAAGCTGACAGAGTGATGGTGACACGTTCCACAGACATAAGCTGGGTTACCCCCAGCCCTCTCAGCCAAATTCTCACTGAAGATGGAGGAACGAGCTGCATATGAATAAGGATTTAGCGGTAATTACAAAGGCACCTGAGTTAGACTCCAGCTTTGCTTCTACGTTATTCTCCACTCATAAATTTAATGTTTTATGGGTCATTTTCTGACCTTTTACTTCCATTTATTAAATAATCGGTTGAGACTACTGTAATCAGTGTGCAGCTGCAAACAGGAAGTAAGGGAATCTGGAAAATCTTCAGTCTAAAACAAAAAAGCTGCTTTATAAAGTCCAGATTGTGAACTTTTAGTGAAATGTGAAAATGTTTGCAATTCTCAGCAAGAGGAACCATTACATTTTAAAGTTTTCATGATTATTACATATGTTGTAATAATAATAATAATAATAATAATAATGTTAGACAAAAAGATTTCAAACGACCAGATAAATTGCTTTTATTTGTACTTTTTCATGTAAAAATACACATCAGGAGGAATATTTCCTGCAAAATACATTTTTTCTCATGAAGAATAAAAACAATGTTTTTTAAATGTGAATACATCTGTGTATCGACAAAAATCAGTAATGATGTACACAGCACTGCGCTGAATCTTAACATTTAACCTAAACTAAAACATATTCGTACAAAGTTGCTTAGCAGTTGGATGCTTCAGAATACGAACCTCGAAACAAAAGTTTGATTGGCCACAGAAAGAAGACTCGGCAAATTTAAATAAGTGAAATGTTTCCTGATACATTTATGTTACTGCAATGTAAAAAGAAGACTCCTTTTATAAAAAAGGAAAAAACTGTTTATATTATTGTCATCTATGAAGACAGTGGAATAAACTGCTGAAGCGGTAGGACTTTATTTGTGGTGTGGGACCACCAGAAGCATCTGTCTCATGAAGGCTAAAGGAAACTAGCTTCTCCAGCTGGAAAATGTTTGAGTGCTCGATCTGAAAGAGAAAAATAAAATGAGACAAAATAGAAAAAGCGAGAAGAAAGTGCCAAAAGAAAATGATTATTAGTTTTATTTCAACTCTTCTCATTAAAGTAAACATGATTCTGCAGCTTTGGTTCGAAGCACTTTTCTAGGGTTCCTCATCGTGTGTTAATATGCAAATACAATTTTAGTCACCAGTGTGTGTGTGTGTGTGTGTGAGAGAAATGACAGGACGGATGAATCTGCATCTGTTAAGTACACACAAGTTGCTGAGTGGAGAGAGAGTGGAGAGATAAAGCAGACCTGGGCATTTCACGGCCCGCGGGCCACATCCGGCCCTTTGTGTATCCTTTTCAGGCCCGCGTGAGTTCAATAATGATTAGATTATGTAAATATATGTAGTGAGTGCAATACGACGGTGCTGCTTTTATTCTGAAAACCGCTACGCTACTTCCACATTGACGTATCTGCGTGTCGCGAGCTTTGAGCATCGACATAAATATACGGCTTTGAGTGAAGGTGAACAGCCATAAATGATGTTAGCCTCAAGATGGAAGCACACGCTAAGAAGCGAAAAATTGATAGCGAGTGTCGCGTTTTTAACAGGACATGGACAGCCAAGTACTTGTTCACAGAAATTAAAGGTAAAGCTGTGTGCTTGGTCTGTGGTACACAGGTCGCTGTGTTAAAAGATTACAATTTGAATCGCCACTACACGACCAAACATGAGGATAAATACAGAAATCTGTCTGAAAAAGAGCGCGCAGGGGTGTCTGATGCATTGCTAGCAAAACTGCAAACCCAACAAGGACTTTTCACCAAACTTCACACCAGCAGAGAGGCTGCCGTTCGGACAAGTTATGTAATATCTCACAAAATCGCCAGGAAAAGTAAGGCATTTTCTGATGGAGAGTTTATTAAGAAGTGCTTATTGGACTCAGTTACACTGATATGCCCAGAGAAAAAGGACGCGTTTGAGAACGTCTCACTCTCCCGACGTACTGTGACGAGGCGGGTTGAGGACATCGCTGAGAACTTGGAGCTTCAGCTGAAGAACAGAGCTGCTGACTTTGAATTTTTTTCTCTGGCTTTGGATGAGAGCTGTGATGTGCGTGATACCGCCCAGCTTCTCATCTTTTTACGTGGAATAACTACAGACTTTCAAGTCACGGAGGAGCTGGCTGCCATGCAGTCAATGAAAGGAACAACAACCGGCAATGACTTATTCATAGAGGTAAATGCATGTTTGGAAAAATTAGGACTGAAATGGGACAATCTGGCAGGTGTAACAACAGATGGTTGTCCAAATCTGACTGGAAAAAATGTAGGACTTTTAAAGAGAATGCAGGATAAAGTAACAGAAATTAATCCTGTGCAGAAATTGACATTTTTGCATTGTATTATACATCAGGAAGTGTTGTGTAAGACAGTGTTAAAGATGGACCACGTTGTTGATGTTGTAACTAAAACTGTTAACTTCATCAGAGCAAGAGCATTAAATCACAGACAGTTTATTGCTCTTTTGGAGGAAAATGAGATGGAACATGGTGACATCAGCTACCACTGCTCTGTCAGGTGGCTCAGCCTAAGCAAGGTACTGAAAAGTGTCTGGGATCTGAGAGAACAGATTCAGGATTTTTGTGTGAAGAAAGGACATGCCGTCCCAGAGCTTTCAGATGAAGATTGGGTGGCAGACCTCGGATTTGCTGTGGATGTGACTGCACTAATGAACCAACTAAATGTCAAACTGCAGTGCAGGGGACTTTTTGTGCATGAGATGTACAGTGCAGTAAAGGCTTTCATGAGGAAGTTGCAGTTTATCTCAAGCCAAGTGAAGGACAACTTTCTGACCCACTTGCCAACACTAAAGGAGGCTATTCCAAATGCCAATCACCTCCACAAGTACTCAGCCAAGTTAGAAGTACTGCATGCAGAGTTTTCAAGGCGATTTCAAGATTTCAAAGCTCTTGAAAATGAAATGAACATGGTTTCTTCTCCCTTCACCTGCAGTGTGGATAATGCTTCAAGTGATGTTCAGATGGAACTCATCGACCTGCAGTCTGACACACTTCTGGCAGAGCACTTCAGGTCAGTCTCACTGCTGGACTTTTATTCCTCCCTCAAAGAAGAGAACTTTCCACACCTGAGGAATCATGCTCAGAGGATGCTAGTTCTCTTTGGATCTACCTATGTTTGTGAACAGACATTCTCGGTGATGAAGTTCAACAAATCCAAACACAGGTCCTCTGTCACTGATGACCACCTCTCAGCTGTTCTTCGCATAGCCACCTCAGCCATTCAGCCAGATTTCAATGCCCTTGTTCAAAACCAAAACAGGCTGGATTATTCTCACTGAAAAACTCACTTATTTCTCACTGAAGAAAACATAACACAAGTCATTGTATTGTTGCATTTCTATAAACTTCTTGTTTGTTGAGTTAAACATGTTAAAATAAAATGACATTGATTCGGTGGTTGCGGTTGTTTTTGTTTTATTTGGAATATGCGCCACAGTTTCACATAGCATAGCCCAATGTAAATATTTGCATTATTTTATTTTAGTTGTATTCTTCTGATTACCAGTACCAGCTATTTGTGATATATAATTTAGTGAATTTTACTATTTAAGAAAGTTAAGCCAACTTGGGTTCAAGATGTCGTTAATGTGGCCCTCCGATGCAACTCGGGTTTTGTCATGTGGCCCCTTGTAAAAATTAATTGCCCACCCCTGAGATAAAGGGTCATGATGCTGAACCATGTGACTCACACTGGCCAACGGAGGGAAAACATCAAGAGGAAAGTCCATAAAAATGAAGATGCATCAGGATAAAAAAGCTAATCTAATGACAATTTGTTCTAAAAACAACCTATTTAAGTTTCTTCCTGTTAAAAAGGAGTTTTCCTCTCCACTGTCGCTGCATGCGTGCTTAGTATGAGGATTGCTGTAAAGTCACTGACACTAGTCAGCGACCCGATGCATTTTGCTGGGTTCCTTATATAGGAAACTTTTTACTGACTGGCTTTATGACCTGACCTGCGTTGGAATGTTTACTGTGTGAAGTGCCTTGAGACGACTCTGGTTGTGATTTGGTGCTATATAAATAAACAAACTGAATTTAAATTTGTATCCAAACACTTAAAACAGAAAATGTGCACGAGTTCAGCCAAATGGTGGAAGTGAGTCTAAACTGAAGACAAAGGCGAGGACAGGGACAGAAACGAGGTTAGATGAGGTATTAAAGCAGGGAGCAGCGTTGCGGAAGCGTGGAAACCCTACAGGCATGACAACGTGCCGCACACGTGCAGCCACTCATCCGTGCTCAACCGAAATATGAATTCACACTTACTGGTTTGCAGGTGATCCAAAGGTGTTTGCAGTGAAAACTATGAAATAAAAAACACAAACAGTATATAAGCCACAGCAGCATTTACTTAAACACGAACCGTTCACATAAATCTCTTCTGAGGGAAAGTAAGAGATGTAAACAGCAAACATAATAATCAAAACTAAAAGGCTGGTTTTAAGTTTTGTTCCAAATTTCCTTTGTAGCCAAACTTTCCCTCCTTTTGTGAGGTAGACGTCTCACCTCCGGGCTGTGGCTGCTGTCCAAAGCCTGAGAAGCTGCTGGGCTGACTTCCAAATCCAGGACCCTGCTGGGCCAAGCTCCCAAAGGACGGGCCGCTCTGATTGGCTATGGATCCAAAGGAAGGGCCACTGGGGGCTGAAGCGAACCTGGACACAGAGGCAAACACGAGTAGTGTGTTGCGTTTCAGAAACATGGTCTGGTTAAAACATAAATGAGCCTAAATGCATGACAACATAAAATCTGTAATCTATACAGACAAGAGCAGGGATTATGTTCTGCTTCAAGCAAACATGTCAGCGAGGCAGAAGACGTGAATATATGAGATTTAAAGGCTGGGATATGAGCAGGAATTAGATCCTTCCACAGGAATCAGGCCCACCGAGAGAGAGAGCGAGAGAGAGAGAGAGAGAGAGAGAGAGAGAGAGAGAGAGAGAGAGAGAGAGAGAGAGAGAGAGAGAGAGAGAGAGAGAAGAGGTTAAGCAAAACAGTGGGAGAAGTAGAGAGAGCAGGCCAGTTTAATCTGCAGGCAGCATGACCCCAGAGTGGGATTATCTGAGGGGAATAATCTACTCCTGCAGAGATCCATAGTTTTAGGCTCTGAGCCAAACTCGCTGCAATCAAAACACATGCCGAATCACCACAACAGAAACAGAATAGATCAAATGCAGCTTTCCTGGTATTTAAACTGGAAATGGATGCACAGAGTTCCATGAGAATGACTTCCATATCAAACTTCTTTACATGGGAACTGCCCAGTCAGCACCGATCTACTCTTCAGAAGTAGTTTTATTTCTGCTCTTACCCAAATCCTCCCATGTTGGACGCTGCAGTTCCCTCACCAAACACTTTGCTAGCGGAGGGACCCATGGGGTTGCTGAAAGACGGGCTGGAGCCAAAGGCGGCTCCGCCCCCAAAAGCTGGGGTACCACCGAAAGAAGGAGGGCTCCCAAACACCGGAGCGTTGCCAAATCCACCTGCTGAGGAGAACCAGGAGGAGGAAGGTTAAAAGTGTGTGTGCACCCAGTTTCATTTCTAATAAAAATATTGAAACTGTCGAGTTTAAACGTTGAATTTAAAGCATTTTTTCCTCAGTTAGGATTAAAATTTCCCACATTGTCATTTATAAACTCTTGTCACTTGAAACGTGGAGTCTGAACTGCGGCTGACACACTGACCCGGGCTTTCCCAGGATGCTACTACTGGGACCGTTTCAGATACACAGCAGCTGCGGATATGTTCCACGCAGCTGATCGCACGAGTTCACGGATTTAGATTTTTACTAATGAAGCAACAGGAAGTCACCAAGTGCCTTTTATTTTGAAAATTGCCAGAGTCTTTCCACTGCTCCTGTTTCACTTCCTGTCTGACTTGCTGAGCTCGACATGTTGTGGACGCGTAGCGGAGCGTCACAACACTACACATCTGGGACGCGTTCGAGACGCACCACTCCCGTCAACAACAATATCGACCAGTAGCCGCAGATTTCAAGTTGCAGACGTAATGCAATGAATACGCATCCGGGGTAACTTTAAATGTTGGAATAAGAAATAATTTCAACCGTATTCTAAAGAAAAAAAAAAGATAAAAAAAAAAAACGTTACACGTAAACATGTAAAAGTTAAAAGCGCCGACAGACTACAGACACAACAGATGTGCAACGGCAGCCTGAAGGAAGGCAGAGTGCTGAAATTACAGCTCAGCTAGGAGCGCGCTCTCATAAATAATTGATTAAGCTAATGTAACAGGATTATATCCCCCCAACACAGACCAGTGATGAAGCTTATTGAGCTCGTATGACTGAAACTAAATAAAATCACAGGAAAGAAGCTTGATTTCCATTTTCAGTATTCACAAGGGCTTCTGGAAAGGCTCCAAGGCAGTTTCCTGCCATCATAATAAACGACTGAAGTCGTTCACTTTCATCCAGTAAAGTTTAAACTGCAGAAATACTGTTGAAGCCTGGATGCGTTACGACAAGCCCCGCGAGTCTCAGGAGTAGAGCAGACCTTTAGAGGCGGCTTTCTAAATATGATTCCACTTGTAAACCGCAGAAATCCACTTCTACAAATCTGAACCATCCTTTTAAATCGGCTCAGCATGTCCGTGGGCATGCATAATGCATGTTTTATCTATTGACACAAAAAACAGTTGTTTATTTATGTAAATGATATGTGGAACAGGAGGATGATGAGTTAAAAATAGCTCTCATCAAAAACGCCAGCTGTAGGAATTAGTTTGTTTGTCATGGTCTGATTATCTGGGTCGCAGCACCAACAGGAAGGCCCAACGTGCCCTCTCCTCATAAACCTCCACCAGCTCCATCGGTGAGATCCCAACATGGAGATATAATCCCTCCAGCGTGTCCTGGCTGAAGCCTGGGGCCTCCTGCTGACAGGATGTGCCTGAAACACCTCCTCTGGGAGGCGTCCTGACCACCTAAGCTCAACATGGAGGAGCAGCGGCTCTACTCGGAGCTCATCACTCTATGTCTAGGCTGAGCCCGGTCACCCTGTAAAGGCCGCTTGTATTCCCGATCCCAAAGCTCATGGCCGTAGGTGAGGACATGAACAAGGAACAAGCAGTACATTTTTGCATTCTGACCACTCATCTACCTGATTTTGTTGGTGAAGAGAAGGAGCCAAAGCCCTGAGACGCAACACTTCCTCCACTGGTGCTGAAGGTCCCAGTGGATTTTTGGTCCCCAAAAGCAGACTGTCCGAAACCAAAGGCCTTCGCTCCGCTGTTTCCAAACAGACTGTTGCTACCTAGAAGGAGGAAAGGTCCATAAAACACATCAAAAACATAGTTGTTACAAATAAACGGAGACACTTTGAATGTGACAGCATACCAGTCTGGGTGGCCTGCCCAAATGCACCAGCGGAGGGGCTGCTGCCAAATGGATTCTTGTTGGCGGCATCCTCACTGGGTTTACCTCCCAGTCCAGAGAAGAACCCTCCACCTCCTGCTGCACCTCCTGCTGTACCGGCTGAACCTGACCCAAACAGGCCCCCGCCAGTGGATGACTGCTGCTGAGAGACATTAGATGATTTAGAAGAAAGGGATCCCCAGCAACAGGATAGTCTATCAAATCTAATAGTAGATAATACCTGTCCAAACACGTTGCTGCTGGAGGACTGTTGTCCAAACACAGGAGCAGCAGGACAGCCAAAGCCTGGGAGAAATCCAACAACAATCACCACTTTGAACGTCTTAGGTGTGTTCTTGCTGTGTCGTATCTAATTCCATGCTGTAGTTCTTTTTTTAAACACAGAGCAGTTTTGTTTACCTGTTTTCCCGCTACGTAGCGGGAAAACAGGTAAACAAAACTGCTCTGTGTTTAAAAAAAGATCTACAGCATGGAACAATCACCACTGCAACACTGAAACAGCCAGAGCTAAATTAAGAACCAGGAGGGGTAAACAGGAATCACCAGCTCATATACTGACATCAGCTGTTCACAGGGACATTCCCAGATGGCTTTGGGAATTTAGAGAATGTTTGGGAATGGTACAACTCCCTTCGACTCACTGGGACTGCAGAATCAAACAGGTGCTCTCCCGCTGGGGGTCAGCGTGTCATCTGAATCGCAACAACCTGAGCAGGTCGACCACATACGCTGAAATTTTGGCAGGTCCTGCTCTGTTCGCTGTCCTTAGACATCTTTTATTTATGCACAGGTTGTTCAGAAGCATTCACTTCAACAATGGCAGAGATTACTTCTGTCTGATGTAATTAGGGCTGGCCGATATGGCCTCAAATCAATATCACTATGTATTGAGGATTTCACCTGATAAGTACAGGTATGCGCAGAAACAAAGCTGTCCACTAGATGGGGCTACGTTGACTCAACGTAAATGTGACTCAAGGTGGTACAGCTTCTAAAAGGGACATGAAGTTGCCAACCTACAGACATCTTTTCATTTTTTTTATTAATCAAATTTATTAACATGGAAAAAATTATCTTGATAAGAGTCAGAAATTTCTGTAACGATAAATTTTCGATTTATTGCCCTAAGTGCAACTAAAAAACGAAGGTAACTAGGAATGCTCCGATCTGATCACATGATCGGAAATTGGGCCCGATCACGTGATTTCCAAAGAATCCGGAATCAGATGGAAAAGATCGAATATAACCTTTTAGAACAACAAGCATAACTTTTTAAATTCATCCTGAGGGAGAGATTTTCAAACAGAATAAAAAAGGCTTAGTGTTAATTTTTAAAAGTTCCACAATATTCATTGATTCATGACAACACCCCGTAAGGTCACACAATCTAAGGAAGCCGGGGAATTCAGACACCGTAACATGTATCTGTTAACTAGCAGGCTAAAGCAGAGCTAACGTGTTTCCTCCACTGAGAGGAAAAGTAAGTCTTCAGTTTGGACGTCTTTTAAACCGGTGCGTTTAACGTGGTGGAAATGGTAGAGCTGCGTTCAACACTACAAAGGTGATGCGCCACCTTAAAAAACAAACTACTCAGTTTGCTGCAGCAACTCAGCTAAAAACATGCAAATGCCAAGTTAGCTGTATCGCACTGGATGACTGTGGTAGCAAACGTCGGGCTTCTCCTTGAGCCACGGTATGAGCTGCTGTTTCGTCTCAACCCACAGCTCTGCAGGTGTTTTGTAGAGAAGTGTGAGCCTGCTGCTGAGCACCTTGTGCCGTGCCTGCCCTGTCGTGGGATTGCACATTGCTCAAAACAGCTGCACGCCAAGTTAACTATTTGACATAAGAGCGAAGAGACAAATTTTAAATAGATTTGTAACATTGACACATTTCTTCTGAATGTTCTATCTGAGCCAGAGTTTTATAGAAGATAAACTAACGAAATGACATAAAAACAAAAACAACAACAAAAAACCACAAACAATAATAAAAAGCTTTAAAGGACAACTTGTATGTGTTCTCCTTTTTCCTTTCCTTTTTAACACATTCCTGAAGTATCGGATCGGGACTTGGTATTGGCAGATACTCAAAATCAAATGACTCAGATCTGAAGCAAAAAAGAGTGACTGGAACATCCCTAAAGGTGACACCTGACCTGATAAAGCCCCGGCTCGGCTCACCTGAAGGCTGACTGAAGCTGAATCCTGAAGATGAAGGTGTGGTGGTGTTACTCCCGAATACGGGTCCTTGCCCAAATCCAGAGCTCTGGCCAAACGCCAGGGTTGTGCTCTGTCCAAACTGTGTTGGCGCTGTGTTGGCGCCACTCGCACCAAAGGAGAAGGAACTTGCGTTGCTGGCAGTGGCAGACCCAAAGAGACCTCCTCCTCCGGTGGTCCCACTACTAGAGGTGGCTCCGAATCCAGATTGGGTAAAAGAAAAGCTGCTGGCTGATCCAGAATTGCTGGAAGGTTGGGCGAACAGGTTATTCTGACCAAACACGGATTTACCAAAGCCGGTTCCAGTTGTTGCACCAAACCCAGAAGAGCTAAAAGCTGTGGGAGCTGGAGCTGATGATGCCGGAGGTGCTACAGGCTGCCCAAACACAGCAGCAGTGGTGGTTGGAGTACCGCTAGACACTGAAGGGGTGATGGTGGTGGCTGCGGGGGCAGCTGTGTTGATAACAGGTGGGACCCCAACAGAACTGCTGTCTGTAGTTGCAGGAGTTGATTGAGTGAAGATGGAACCGGGTTTTTCCGATGGGGGCACTTGGAATGCTGCTGGGCGGGACTGGGAATCAGGGGCAACAGATGCAGCAGGTGAAGTGGACACAGGTGTGGTGGTGGAGGAGTCTGGGGGGGCTTCTGTTGTGGATGGGGCACTGACTGGTGGCGGGGGGACTGCTTCAGCTGGTGCAGTGAAGGTAGAAAGGGGCACTAGAGTAGAAACAGTAGTGATAACAGGCACTGCAGGGGTTGATGCTGCAGGTGTTGCCATGGTTACTGCATTCGGTGCAGGTTCTGGTGCTACAGACTGACTAGCGCTGTCTTCAGTAGAGTCACTTGTAGTAGGCTCTTCTTCAGGAGGTGGTGTTGGCTCTGAAGGCTGTGGGGGGGCTTTTGGTTCCTCTGAAGAAGGTGTAACAAGGCTACTGAAAGATGTAGGCAAAGTGGAAGGCACTGAGTCGGATGGGGGAACAGAAAACGCCGGCTTGGAGGTCGATTCAGGAGGCTTGAACAAGCTGTTAGGCGCCGCCCCCTTGGACAAGTCAGCAGCACTAAAGCTAAATTGTTGCGCTCCCACACCCAGGCCAATACCAGCCTCCCCAAGTGTAAACTCTGCAACTGGATTTGGTGCAGCATCTTTGGCTTCTTCTCCTTGACCCACACGTAGACCAGAAAAAATGCCCAGTGTCTCTCCTCCAGTCAGCTTTGCTGGCTGTGGCTCCACCCTGGGAGCAGGGGGAGATGTGGTGGATGGGAGTTTCCCTGGTTCAACAGATGCATCTGAAGCCAGAGTGGGAGACCCAGTGCCAAGACCAGATGAGGTGGGCTTCTGGATGAGGGAGAACGGCGGGTCTCCAGACTGACCAAATACAGCTTTGCCATTTCTGAAAGTGAACTTGTTCACATCTTTAACTGTAAAGAAGGGAAGCAGAAATCTGTGATTATGAAGGCATGAATGACCATTTCACGGTTTTATGGACAGAACCAGGTTTCTGGATAGTTTTACCTTGTGAGGATCCGAGTCCTTGTGAGGCTGAGGTTAAACTGAAGCCTGCTGACCTGCAAGAGTCAAAATACAACAGTGGAGCTAACTTTACATTTATGATTCAACATAATTCAAAACACGTCACTCCTCCTTGAACCGTCACCTTATCGTGGTGGAGGAGTTTGAGTGCCCTAATGATCCCAGGAGCTATGTTGTCTGAGGCACTTTGTGCCCCTGGTAGGGTCTCCCATGACAAATTGGTCTTAGGTGAAGGGTGAGACAAAGAACGGTTCACAGGATCTTTCATGGACGTAAAAACAAAGAGTCGGAGTACCCGGCCCGGAGGGTTACCGGGGTCCCACCCTAGAGCCAGGCCTGGGGTTGGGGCCCGTGAGCGAGCGCCTGGTGGCCGGGCTTTCGCCCATGGGGCCCGGCCGGGCCCAGCCCGAACCGGATACATGGGCTCATTCAACTGTGGACCCACCACCCGCAGAAGGAACATGAAGGGTCCGGTGCAGTGTGGATCGGGTGGTAGACCAAGGCGGGAGCCTTGGCGGTCCGATCCCCGGACAAGAAAACTGGTTTTTGGGACATGGAACGTCACCTCGCTGGCGGGGAAGGAGCAGGAGCTTGTGGCAGAGGTTGAGCAGTACCGCCGGACTCACCTCGACACATAGCATTGGCTCTGGAACCCAAGACCTTGAGAGGGGTTGGACACTCTCCTTTGCTGGAGTTGCTCCGGGTGAGAGGCGGAGGGCTGGGGTTGGCATTTTGTTAGCCCCAAGACTCTCTGCCTGTGTGTTGGGGTTTACCCCGGGGGACGAGAGGGTAGCTTCCCTGCGACTTCAGGTCGGGGAACGGGTCCTGACTGTTGTTTGTGCTTATGGGCCAAATATCAGTTCAGAGTACCCACCCTTTTTGGAGTCCCTGGGACGAGTGCTAGATAGTGCTCCATCAGGGGACTCCATTGTCCTGCTGGGGGACTTCAATGCTCACGTGGGCAATGACAGCTTGACCTGGAGGGGTGTGATTGGGAGGAACGGCCCACCTGATCTGAACTCAAGTGGGGTTTTGTTATTGGACTTCTGTGCAAGTCGCAGTTTGGCCATAATGAACACCATGTTCGAACATAAGGATGCCCATCGGTACACTTGATACCAGGGCAGCCTAGGTCGCAGGTCGATGATAGACTTTGTAGCCGTATCATCTGACCTGCGGCCGTATGTTTTGGACACCCGAGTGAAGAGAGGTGCGGAGCTGTCAACTGATCACCACCTGGTGGTGAGTTGGATCAGATGGCAGGGGAAGATGCCGTGTAGACTTGGCAGACCCAAACGCATAGTGAGGGTCTGCTGGGAACGCCTGGCAGAAGAACCTGTTAAGACGGTCTTCAACTCCCACCTCTGGCAGAGCTTTGACCGCGTCCCAAGAGCAGTGGGGGACATTGACTCCGAGTGGGCCTTGTTCCACTCGGCAATTGTTGAGGCGGCTGTTGCTAGCTGTGGTCGCAAGGTGGCCGGTGCCAGTCGTGGTGGCAACCCCCGTACCCGCTGGTGGACATCAGAAATTCGGGGAGCCGTCAGGCTGAAGAAGGAGGCCTACAGGGCGTGGCTGGTCTGTGGGTCTCTGGAGGCAGCAGACAGGTACCGGATAGATAGCCAAGCGGGGTGCAGCAGTTGCAGTTGCTGAGGCAAAATCTGGGGCGTGGGAGGAGTTTGGTGAGGCCATGGAGAAAGACTATCGATTGGCTCCAAAGAGGTTCTGGCAAACTGTCCGGCGCCTCAGGAGAGGAAGGCAGCAACTCGCTCACACTGTTTACAGTGGGGATGGGGAGCTGCTGACGTCAACTGGGGCTATAGTCGGACGGTGGAAGGAATACTTTGAGGAGCTACTCAATCCCACCTATGCGCATTCCGAGTAAGAACCAGAGCCGGGAGACCTGGGGATGGACTGTCTAATCTCTGGGGCAGAAGTTGCTGAGGTAGTCAAACAACTACACAGCGGCGGAGCCCCGGGGGCGGATGAGGCTCGTCCTGGGTATCTCAAGGCTATGGATGTTGTAGGGCTGTCATGGTTGACACGTCTCTGCAACATTGCGTGGTCATCGGGGGCAGTTCCTGTGGAGTGGCAGACCGGGGTGGTGGTCCCCATCTTTAAGAAGGGTGACCTGAGGGTGTGTTCCAATTATAGGGGGATCATACTCCTCAGCCTCCCTGGAAAGGTCTACTCCAAGGTACTGGAGAGGAGGGGCCGATCGATAGTTGAATCTCAGAGTGAGGAGGAGCAATGTGGTTTTCGTCCTGGCCGTGGAACTGTGGACCAGCTCTATACCCTTGCAAGGGTGATGGAGGGGGCATGGGAGTTTGCCCAACCAATCCACATGTGTTTTGTGGATTTGGAGAAGGCTCATGACCGTGTCCCCAGGGCCACCCTGTGGGGGACGCTCCAGGAGTATGGGGTGGGTGGCTTTCTGTTAAGGGCCATTCAGTCCCTTTACCAGAGGAGCGTGAGTTTGGTCCGCATAGCCGGTAGTAAGTCAGACCTGTTCCCGGTGAGGGTTGGACTCCACCAGGGCTGCCCTTTGTCACCGGTTCTGTTCATTACCTTTATGGACAGAATTTCTAGGCGCAGCCGTGGTGTGGAGTGTGTCGAGTTTGGTGGCAGGAGAATCTCGTTTCTGCTTTTTGCGGATGATGTGGTCCTCCTAGCTTCATCCAGCTCTGACCTTCAGCTCTTGCTGGGTAGGTTTGCGGCCGAGTGTGAAGCAGCTGGGATGAGGATCAGCACCTCCAAATCTGAGACCATGGTTCTCGACCGGAAAAGGGTGGCTTGCCAACTCCGGGTCAGGGGAGAGGTCCTGCCTCAAGTGGAGGAGTTTAAGTATCTCCGGGTCTTGTTCACGAGTGAGGGCAGGAGGGATCGGGAGATCGACAGGCGGATTGGTTCAGCGTCTGCAGTGATGCGGACGCTGAGCCGATCTGTCGTGGGGAAGAGGGAGCTGAGCCAGAAAGCCAGGCTCTCGATCTACCGGTCGATCTACGTCCCAATCCTCACCTATGGTCATGAGCTTTGGGTAATGACCGAAAGAACGAGATCGCGGATACAAGCGGCCGAAATGAGTTTCCTCCGTAGGGTGGCCGGGCTCAGCCTTAGAGATAGGGTGAGGAGCTCGGTCATTCGGGAGGGACTCGGAGTAGAACCGCTGCTCCTCCGGATCGAAAGGAGCCAGTTGAGGTGGTTTGGGCATCTGGTCAGGATGCCTCTTGGGGAGGTGTTTCGGGCATGTCCTGCCAGCAGGAGGCCCCCAGGTCGACCCAGGACACGTTGGAGAGGTTACATCTCCAATCTGGTCCGGGAACGCCTTGGGGTCCTGCCGGAGGAGCTGGTGGAGGTGGCCGGGGAGAGGACGGACTGGAGCTCCCTAGTTGGGATGCTGCCCCCGCGACCCGGATAAGCAGAGGAAGACGATGACGACATAATTCAAAACAGGAGGGAGTGTAACGATAGTTCTTTCAAGAGATAAATTGTTAGATTATCTGTTAAATACACAGTTTAAATCTGACAACACTATTTTTACCTGTGTGGCTGGATTTGGTATAGAGATGGAGAAAACAGCAAATAAATCAGAATTGTAAGGCAGAAAAGGATAACAACTGGTTTAAAAAATAAAAAAAGTTTCATGACGATGATGGAGAAGTTTAAAAGTCAGCACAAACATAATTTTTTATTCCAAACTCATAAAATACAGATTTTCTTAATGATCTCAGAATGTTTGCTTTCCTCGTTGACGAGAACTCACCCTGACGTGAAGGAGAAAGACTTGCTGTTGTTCTGCTCTACTGAGGAGCTAGCAGGAACGGCAGAAACATCTGTTTTGGATGGTTGACCTTATGAACAACAGGTTTAGGAAGTCAGTAAGCATCTGCCACATCTGTACAGGCCTTCAGCACAGAGCCAAACAACACTTACCAAACACAAAGCCTGTCTGCGAGATGGACAGACTTTCAGCAGACATCTTTTGGAGACTTGGGGTTGTGGTCTACAGAGGTAGGACGGAAAACAGTCTTTAAACAGCTTTTTTAAAAAAATGGAATCTGAGCCTCTATAGAACACATGAAACTTTGTTGGGGCTCACAATGGCCTAGGAGACCTGATCGATGACCGAACATAATCAAATAATAAAGGCCTACAATGGAAACCATGTATATTAAATGAGCGGTGTGCTGATTGGCTGGTTTTCCCAGATGGCTCTATGACAGCCTGACACCAGAAACTCTGTAATGCTGTGCACAGTACCTGGATAACTCAATAAGCAAGTTATGGATATATCTGGCATTGACTCATAGCCTGGAGATTCCCAGTACATCGTGGAATGTGAGTGGCACTCCAACAATCTTCTCAAGCTAGCATTAGCAGTTGCTCAGGCTAGGGTGTGTGTCTAAAGCCTGATTTATCTTTCGCCGTGAGCTCCGCAACAAAGAGACACACACACTGTTGGAAAGGTTTTCACATGCAAACTTCAGCACAGGCAGCGGAGTGTTGCAAAGCAATTCCCCGCCAGGACAACAGTGTAGCGCTTTGCTGTGGTATCCGGCCACCATAACCCTCATGTTGATCTATAATCTGGTTGATGATAGTGTATTTACTAATGTATTTATTTATTTCAGAGATTTTATAACATGGACAAATTTGTCCTTCATTCTCCTCCACCTCTTCGTGCGGTCACTGTAAATAACCCAGATTATTTGTTTATTTTGGTATTGTTTAGATACTAATATCTATGAGTAATTCATGTTTTAGGGTTCACATGACTCTTATTTTGAGGTTCAGAATGCTGACTTCCGGTTTCGGATCTTCGTCAAATTATCTACATAAATACTAAATAAATGGCTCACACTATATTAACTGCCAACGTTAATGCTCGTTATCTTGTTCTCAAACCCAAGCGCCCAACTTGTAAGCTTTATTTGGCAGAAATATGGCACTTTTAACCTATTAACGGAAGCAGGTTAGGCAGTTAGCTAATCAGTTATGTGTTCGCTGGTAACTACGCTGGTGCTCTTTTAACACGGAGATGGGAAAGATTTTGTTTTGCTTACCAGAAGGAAGTTAAGGAGAAAATTAGAGTTTTCCATCCATCTTCAATTTAGCATCTAGCTGGAAGGCGAACAGGTATGTTTATGAATGGTTTCTTGTTGTTTAAATTTATAAATATATTACTTATTTGTTAACAAATTTCTGAGTGAACTAGCAGGCTAATGATAGCACATGCTTTGTCTTTTTTTGGTTCAATTAGCAAAGGTGGAACATGTTATATGACGGGAATGTTGATTTTCTTGTTTGTTTATGTTATAATTACAGCTCTTACGATGTGTCTATGGTAATTTCTGAATAAATGGGTTGGAATACCCCACCATGGTCCATCCGTTATGATCATTGAGTGCATTGTCTGAATAAAGTCCGGCTGGAATGCTACAGTCACCACCTCTAAACCCACGTTTCCCGTCATTTTCGTCCACGTTTGCTCTGTATTTTATACTCCTTCAGTCATGGGTGAATAAACGTTCATATTTTTGGGACTTTTACCGCAATGCGTTATTCAATCAGTTCTCCGTCACTCTCTGTGAACCTGTCGGAGAGCCCTTGCGCCAACGCCTAATGGCTCCGCACCGACGCAGGAGAATAAATCAGGCTTAAGTTTACGACGTGTTCAACCATGTTTTCTCAGACAAAACCGTTTCTCTGTGATAATTACACCCTTACTAATTTACATAGGAAAACAGAGATGGCAAAGACTTTTTGGTATGCAACAGTAGACACCCTAAGCTGCCTTCATTCAACAATAAGAAAAAGGTAAATGTGGTTTTAAATTCTAAAACCTCTTTAAAGAAATAGAGCCTGAGATCAGGTCGCCATCATTGATGTGGCCGCCATGTTGGTAACCTCCAAGTCCTTACTTGATACTACTGACAACAGAGTGCTCAGTCTTGGTCTTGCGGCTTTAATCTATTATTCATTAGATCTGTTATTCAGCAACCATAGTAAATGGTTTTGTTGTGAGGTGCAACATGTGATCGCCAGGGAAAAAAATATAGAAAACAGGCCAACCTTTCTCTGTTTTCCCGCTTAAAGGCATAACCACGGAGACCATGTAGCTAGCATAGCAAAGTCTGGTCGGCCTGCTTGGATCGCAGCTGTAAGGCGACCAAACATCACTTTCCAGAGTATCTCAGTCTTTGTGTGAGTGTGTACTCTGCATTTTCATTCTGGTAAGTTACAGATGGTCTATTTTTTATACATAATTTCTTTCCTTCCTTCAACCATGACACACACACACACACACTGTGGGCTAATGTGGGCACATGGAAACCACTTCTTCTGCTACACTTCTATTGGATGGCAATTTTGATTGTTTTACTGCGGCGGAAACAAGCTGTCGTCGGTGCTCCAGTCTTGGGTTTTTCATATGGATCCAAATCATTTATGATTTGTTCACATATCCGTCCCCGGCTTCCCTATGTAAAGTATCCCGGTATATTCCACATCCCTTTAGAGATTTTAAAATGTTATTTATGACTTTCTTTCTCCCAAATCCGCTTCTTCTCTGTGATGTACCGTTTGACTTCATGGTTTGTTTACACTTGTGAATCTATCAACATGTCTGCCACGTCCCAGACAACAAACAATCACGTGTGATCCAAAATCCTTTTATGTGATTTAACAAAAGATCACATTGCAGCTTAAAACTATTTTCCACACTTTTGCTAATTGTGAGTCAGATGCAGGGTAAAACACAAACATGCATTAGGAGATACGCGTCTAGCTCTTTCCTGTTTACGTGAGGAGGTACAGGAACAAGCTTTGTTAGATTTGAGAGTAGATTCTCCCTTATGGGAGGAACCTGAGACATTTCTCACCCCTGCAGTTAACACTCGTTCCTCAGATGCCAAACTGTCAGCAATCTGTGGATTTTCACATGCTGGATGATCTTTAAACTTACGAGAACATAAAATCAATAGTGAAAAGGTGCTGACTGCTACAAACATACAGAATCCATTAGTGTCTTATTTTGAAATAATCCTGTACAAGTAAAAAACAAACAAACAAAAAAAACAATAGTTTTTGTGTGATCCATTCAAAGAATGACAGCTATGCACAAAAACATTAGAAAATATTTAACAACTTGAGTAGAAAAAGGTTTCCTTGCACTCACACGTTTGACTTGGGTGGCAGAAACAGTTGTAAACGATGGTTCTGGTACCAAAGAGCTGAGGAATACAAGAGGGAGACTTTTATTAAATAGAAACAGCTTTTATGTTAAATAACATTTGGGGTGTCTACAGACAGCAAAACATAAAATATATTCTATTGCTTCATAGTTAGACATTTTCTAATACAGAAAAAATGTTCCTGTTTTCATAAACTGATGAAACTAATAATGCTGCTCATATTGTGCTTGTGGGAGATTTTCCTCATGAGACATAAACCACACCGGATGCAGATTTGACTGAAGGCTCAACTTAAAATCTGTTTTCTTTTTAACATTTAATGTTAACTACTACGGCAACTAAAGAAAAGGACTATTTCAATTTTTTGAGTTCTAAAATCTGGGAAATGAGGAAACAAGTTAAAAATAAAACTATAATATTTGACTATATTGTTGTGGGGGAAAAAAAAGATTTCTTAGTGAGAAAAGTTTCTACCTGTTGATGGAGGAAGCAGGGGCAGCTGGTCCTTTGTCCTTGAGCTCCTGGACATTGACCACCTGGGGAACCATCTTCAAGGTGGATTCAGTCAAAGAAGTACTAACAGCAGCTGGCACACAAACAAAACCACGTCAGACACTGAGAGTGCTTTTTGTGTTTATTACATTTGAAAACATGTGACTAACTGATCTAGATGTTTCCATGGTGATGATTACAGCCTGGGTGAAACAGCTCAGTAAAAGTCTCTGCCTGGTAGATGACTCCAGATTAAAAGACATCTAGTAACTTGTATTTGTCTCCAGGTCTGTGCTGCCCCCTGGTGACTTACAAGAGGAATAGCAATATGATGGAGAACAAAATAATTGTTTGCTCCAAAGAAATCTTTTGTTTATAACAAAAGCGAGCTGGCATTTTTCATTTAATCATAAGTCAAATTTAAAAAGGTAAATATTTATTTCTAGTGATTTGCTGTTTTCCCTTTCAGATGTTTTACTGTTTAATGTTACCAAGTCCACACTCATAAGTAAATAGATCCTGCAGTTGGTTTAACTCAGGCTTCTTCTACATGTCCATTAAACTCAAATTATTTAAACTTTTTTATTTCTTGTTCTTGGGCTGCTGTGAGCTAGACTGGCCTGCCAGACTCATCTTCTGTTTATTTCTGCAAAGAGAATGAGTCTGGAAACTCACAGGCAGAGAGGCACATGAGGGGCGGGACTAGCCAGCTCAAAAATAGCCAATCAGAAAAAAGGCAGAAATACCGACTGTATCACGTAACGCTGTAGTTTCTTAGCTGTAGTCAAAAATGACGTCTGGAGACAGCGCACACATCTGTCTTCAGAAGAAAGGCTTTTAGAGCTTCTACTTGGTGTGGTTTTAAAGATGTGTCCAAGTAATTTAGAACAGAAGAAAGAGCTGCAGCAAACTCCGCTTCAGGTGCCATCTTTGTTGTTTATTAGAAACTCAGCGTTCCTGCGTGTGTGTGAGACGTATGATACACAGCACTGATTGGCTCGGTTAGGATTATCAGGGTTTTATGAATAAGGAGAGTTCTCAGACCCAATGTTTCCCATAAAGAAGCATGAGGCTGTCTGTTCAGGCTAGCTGAGAACCAAAATCTCAGTGAACGAGGTGACAGATATCACGTTACCCTCGCCACATCTAAGTAGATATGATCTGGATACAGAAAATCTACAGGAGGACACAGAAAGAAGTAAACATCATATTTGGATTTCTGTTAGTTGGGATTTTGATTCACAACAATCTAAATGATCTCTGAGAAACTCCAGAAAAATAGGCTTAAAGAGTAAGTAATGCCTAAATTAACTTTTTTTTTTTGCTGATAACCAGTATAGATGAGTGTCTAATGGTGCTGTACACGTGTGTAATCATTAGTGTGGCAGTTTCGTGCAACTTACTTTAAATTTAATATTTCGGCCCAAAACCATAATTATATCTCCATCTTCAGGTAAAAACTCTGCTCCACATTTATGTAGAATCAGCTGTGGCTGATAATTAAGCTGAAAAACATGATGTCAGCAAATTACTTTGTGGCTGCATCACACAGGTCTCCAGGTGAGGCAGCCGCACCTCCACCTGGCTCAGCCACTCACCACCGATTTGACACATTAGCGCCCTGAGCCGCTCGCCTCCTTGAAAAAAAAAGATTGTGAAACTCCAACAGCACACGCGGGGGGGAGTGGGGGGGTCTCTACCACTGCTTCAGTGCTGCTCTCTCGGTCTGCCAGGCGACGCCTCTTTCAGAAGCGTTTTCCTAACAGGAAGTGTGGATGAAATACGTCTCCACCAGTGCCTTGACCCTCACTTTAATGGTGCCATTTGTAAGCCTGACATCCTGTGGTCAAATGTGGTTACTACAGTCCATTTTTAAAGAGCAAGTCAACCCCCTACCAGAGTCTTACTCTACTCCCACTTTCAGTTTGAAAAATGCAACAAATGCTGTTGCCTGGCAGACCGAGAGGGCAGAGCCCCAACAAATAGAACAACACTGTGACATCATAATGTACCAGCTAATGTCATAGAGTACTTATTAGCCAAAAGTAATGGCAAATTTAAATTCAAATGCAGTGCAGAGTTTTTACCTGAAGAGGACGCAACAATGACAGTTTTAAGCAGAATATTTAAATTTTAACTAAGATGCACTAAAGGGCCAAATTATTGTCTATAGTAGATAAGTATATGGGCTGTTTCTCAATCTACATTCTTGTCCGCACTTGTGTACTCATGCCCTTCATATCCAACGCTGGCCCAAGTACTGCTCCAATCCTAAGTACATATCATAGCAAGTTCGCTCTAAGTATCCAGATGTGTTCTAACTCTGCCCATTGTATTCCAAGGATGTTATTGATACATCCTTCTATGGACTTGGGACAGCAATGTATCCCATAATGCATAGTCATCGGAGAAAACTCATAACCAGTGTTTAATATCAGAAACACAAATTAAGAAATATAAAGTTGTTTGTAGGGTTGTCACAGTAACCGGTGTAGCGGTAAACCCCGGTAAAAAAGTTGACAATAATAATAACCGTCTTGTTAAAAAAAAAAAAAACTATATTATCTCGGTGGATTACCGTGGCTGCGGTGTAGGCGCGGTGACCCTTACCAGCCACCGTATCATCTGCTGAAGCTGCCGGCAGCACATGCGCACTTTGTTGTTTACAACCAAAACTTTCTTGGAAGCTAAAGCTGAAATAATGGCCAAAGGAGGAGACGGCAGCGCTCAGGACATTTATTATCCCTCAAAGAAGACAAAGTGGGAAGTACGGGCATCTTTTGGATATTTGAAGAATGCCGAGGGACAGTTGATAGAAGACGGCTATCCTGTTTGCAGCACGTGCAGAAAAAGTGTCTGTGAAAGGCAGCAATGCTTCAAATCTCATGACACATCTGCGTGACCATCACCCACAACTCTGCAGTCAACGCAAGGCAAGCTAACGTTAGCGTTTTAGCTAAAATGCGTGATCCGAGGATTTGGGTTGAGAGAGAATGCAACGAGTCGCTATATAAAGCAGCCGCAGCGCCGCTACCTGCATATAAACCGTGTCACGGACACCCCCATGTTGAAATGACGCTATGCATTACGGGGCTCCCAGGGGCAGATAAGAGTTGGTCTCTCTCCGAGAATAATTATGAATTTAACAATGATTACTGCCTGATGACATTTTCCCACATCTGCAAAGCTCACTGGAAGGACACAAACCGAGGACAATATTTTCCTGATATAGGGTTTATTACTCAAGTAAGGGTAAAAAAAGTATCTGATTAGAAGTCTACTTGAGTTCCGAGTATCAACTGATCTAATATTTTTAAATGATGACATCAAACAGACAAAAAATAAGAAGTTATGGGCAAATATTGCTATTTTAAAGACTAAAGGAGAAAAATGTAAACAAATAAACAACATAATTACAAAATAACACATTTTAGGCAAAATTTAGACACAAACTGAGGACAATATTTTCCTGATATACAGGGTTTATGTAGTTGTCTGAAAATGTAACACGTTTAAAAAAATACCGCGATAATACCGAAAACCGTGATAATTTTGGTTACAATAACCGTGAGGTTACATTTTCACACCGTGACAACCCTAGTTGTTACTGTAATAATTGCATATAATCTGTACAATTTGCTGTTTGTATTTGCTAATTTTTTTCCAGACACTTCACAATCCCTCAAAATTCTAATTGGCTAAAAATAAAAGCAGCAGTGCCTTATATAGCTTTGTTTTGATGAAAAATAAACAGACTTTCTGGTGCACTAGTCAAGACCATACTAATCAAGTGCACAAGAACGTACTAGCGTCCTTGGGTATTGAGAAACAGCCATTGTCATATCTGGTGTTAGCGCTCTTGGGGGTGTTTTACGGTCGGTCCACGCGCAGCAGAAACTATGGGACATAACCTGAAAGAAGACGTATTTTTTCACAACATCACGTCTTTTATCCAGGTCATTTAAAGCCTTAGTAAAATCTCTGTCATTCATCATCGCACTGCGTTTTGTTGTGGAGCAACACACTTCCTGTCCCCCATTTGAGTTTCATGCGACTGCAGAGTGACATGAGTGAAACCCAGCAAATAGAGTAAAATAAAAAGATGCCATGGCTTCTTGGAGGTACAAAAATAACTTCTGGGTTGCTCCTGTTTACTGGCATCGGTTCTTTAAATAACTTTGGAGCTTTTTGGCTGCTGGTGTTGAATTACAAATGCCGGCGCTGCAGCAATAAATCGACGGAGACGGTTCAACTTCACAAACTCACAGAGTGTAAACAGTAACTTCGTCCCTCTTTATTTTTGTAATTTTTTTCAGGAGACAAACTGACTACCTCCCAGCCCGCTGAGAATGAAATTTGTTTCAGTATAACCTTCCTTCCAACAAGATTACTAGGCTGATTTGTGATTATTTCACAGTAGAATTCTTGCAGATTGCACCTTTAATTTTAAGAAGATTGTTTTTGTTACATGTCAGTGCTGGCTGGACATGTATTTTCTTTTCCTGGCTGTGTTTGTGTTTGTCATCCCCAGGTGCAGAGCCTGGTTAGTGGACTTCTGGTGCTGCTGGAGCTCGATTGGCTAATGAAGTGCCCAGCCCTTTGCCAACAGACCAATCTGGATCCCTGAAGGTCTCTGCTGGACCAATCAGAAGCCAATGAGTCTCTGCTGGACCAATCAGAAGCCAAGGAGTCTCTGCTGGACCAATCAGAAGCCAAGGAGTCTCTGCTGGACCAATCAGAAGCCAAGGAGTCTCTGCTGGACCAATCAGAAGCCAATGAGTCTCTGCTGGACCAATCAGAAGCCAAGGAGTCTCTGCTGGACCAATCAGAAGCCAAGGAGTCTCTGCTGGACCAATCAGAAGCCAAGGAGTCTCTGCTGGACCAATCAGAAGCCAAGGAGTCTCTGCTGGACCAATCAGAAGCCAATGAGTCTCTGCTGGACCAATCAGAAGCCAAGGAGTCTCTGCTGGACCAATCAGAAGCCAAGGAGTCTCTGCTGGACCGATCAGAAGCCAAGGAGTCACTATGGCCTGGTTTTGTTTAGCTGGTTTCTTTGATTTGGCACCACCTAGCTGTCCCCCCCCCCCCCCCCCCCCCCCCACACACACACACACACACACACACTCAGTGATGTTTTTGTAATAAAATCTGATTTATACTTTGAAAGGTTGATTGTGTCTTGTCATTTCATTGTGGTTTTCGTGTTGCATCTCCCATCATTTTCTTCCACCTGAGGGGTTGTAACAGCTTTAAAATCAGAAGATGTTACAAAGCACCTCCTTCTTTCCTCCTCACTCTGACATTTAGTTTTTAATCACAATTGTCTATCTTTCTCATTTTAAATATATTTTTAACCATTTTCTAAATTCTTATATTACATTTTTTATTTTTGTGAAGCGCTTCGTGATTTTTATCTTGAGGCACTATAGAAATGATATTATCTTCTTCTAAAATCAGAAGATGTTACAAAGCACCTCAGAGCAGATTTAAAATGGAACAAATTTATCTGAATAATGGAAAAGATTTAAGTGTTGAGACAAAATTCTGAAGGAAAAGTATTGTAGTGTTTCTGTAAATATTTTTCTCCCAAATAAAAAAATAAGGCATTGATTAAAGATGATAAAATACCTTGACAGCCTTGTTCCTACCTGCTTTCTGATTGGCCATTTGTCTACGCATCGCGGCAGTGGCAGCAGCCTGCGGTGCAGACATGGTGATGGGTACGGTCCTCTCTGCTGGTGGAGCCCCGTGTTTTACCGTTTTTGTGGCAAGAGCCGTGCTCTCAGCCCCGCTCAAGTTGATCTTATTGGAGGGAACTGAAACACAAAGAATTTATGAAACCATAATTTATTGCAGGATTCTAACTTAGTGATGATCTGCTTATGAATGCTCACTAGGGCTGACTATAGGGCTGACTCCAAATCCTATGCTTGGTAATGACTGAATCTTTGGTAGAGGTGTGGACTGGATGGCTCCAAAGCCGGGCTGGATAGAGGGGGTCCTCACGACTGTCTGGTGGCGAGGGATGGATAACGCTGGAGCCATGGCAGTCATGAGTGGGGGCTGCAGTGGTTGTAGCTCCTCCTCCAGGGACTGGGCCAGGGAGGACGTGGAGCTGGCGTCATCCAGGTCTTCGTAGTATTTAGGTGAAAGGAAGGCTGAACGCGACAGGTTTGCTGGAAGGGAGTAAACACAGAAGATTTAGGAAATCACATCTATACTGTGGCGCTTTTGATTCCTGTGAACCTGGTCCAGCTGAGGCCCATTAAAATGGATCCAGGAGTCAAACGAGTCATACCTGGTGCAGTTGAGCGCACAGGAGGCATCTGTCCCTTCGAGAGGAAGTTACGCAGTTGCGACTGTTTAGCTGGTGATATCTTGACTCCTGGAAACATTTCTGGATTTAATCTCTTTAAATACCTTTTATAAAATTGTGTCTTTAAAAATGCAACAATAAATACCAGGAGATCTGGCTTTCGTCTTAGGAGGAGTGTCGTCCAGCCTGGCTTTGAGCAATGCATCCTTTAAATTCTCAAGCTCTGTTTGCAAACTAAAACAAAACAAGACATGAAATATTTTAAAGGTGGTCATCTATTTGATAGAGGGAAGTTAAGAACAAACACTGAAATAAATGTGAACTTTAATGTGGCATGTTCCACTCTAACCATCTGTTAGTGGGTCCTACCCAGCTGAAGAAGTAACAGCGGCGTTTTGGTTTCTAGAAGGAGCTGCTTTGCTGTAGAGGCGCAGCGACGTGAGTTCCTGAACCAGCTGATCCAGTCTGTTCTTCTGCTGGTTGATGATGTACAGGTTGTTGGACAGAGTGGTGAACAGCCCCTCACGGCCAGGCACAACCATGTGTCTGTGAGAAGTATATGTGTGTTATTTATTGATAACTTCTAGAGATGCTGTCAGAATAATCAGAGACGCTTGAAACTCACTTCTGTTTTTTCTTCTCCAGATGCTTCTCCCATTCCACGTCCAGGACGTCGTTAACGTCCTCCACAGCAAAAGTCACATATTGGTAGCGCATGCGGATCTCCTGAGTTTGAAAGTGAACACGTTTTTTTAAATAATGAAAAAAAGATTCTAAGAGTAGTAGTGAATTAACTTGAGATCATCTGTTTTTCCCGTGTGTCACCTTAAGCTGCTCCTCGCTACGTGGATCCAGAGGTTTTTTGTACAGCAGCTGTCTGTAATTTCTGTCTTTGCTCAGTTCACTCTGGGTCTTGGCGTCTTCGGCTCCGGCAAAGCCCTCCAGTAAAGTGGTCTTCAGCGTGCCAATGTCCCCATGAAGAGACTTGAAATCAGAAGAAGCGATTTAAAATGAAAGCAACTGAAAATATGGACATAAAAAGTCCCCTTTGGTTGCTTTTAGCTTCTGGCGTTTTTGCTATAATAATGCAGAAATCCAGAGTTTTCTCAGACGGCACCATCTAGAGTGGAAAAATGTACTGCACCTCCAGTCCCTCTTCCTACTCCAGATTACAAATGAAAGGGATGTATATGGGATACGTGTGCTTTACTGTCATTCAAATGCTGATAATTAGCAATAACACAACTTCTGAGAAGTTTCTGGTCATTACTGTTGACCTAACCTCTGTGGTCTCCTTGATCTCCAGAGTGAAGATATGAAGGTCCTCTGACTCTTTTCTTAGCTCCTTCATCTCATCGTTTGACCCAACCTTAAAGTCAGCTTTTGCACTTCGAGCCTTGAGGTCATCCAACTCCTTCTGGAAGTGAGCGATCTGACAGCAAAGACAGGAGGAGTTAGAAAACAAACCTGTCTAGCACACGCCATCTAAATTCATCTGAACAGTTAAGTTTTATAATAAAGCTGATTTCTTCTGATAGACATTTACCAAGAACTTTTTGGAGTGCATGTCTTTAGAAATTTCCTAGGAACTATTAAGTCTTTTCACTGTTAAAGATGATTAGGTGTGTAATATGTACATTAGCTCATCAAAAAGAATAGATTAAATTTCAAAATCTCATTCACTTGTTTTTCTTTCTTTCAATAAAGGTGCAGTGGTCTCTAGTATGAAGGTACGAATCCCTTGGGAGTCGTTTTCTGTGTAAAAAAAAAAAAGCTCTGGCGCTCCAGCTTCAGGAAGTAGAAGTTTGTTGGAGGAGTGGGGGTTGAAAAATGATTAATATGCAAACATCTCACCTCTGTTTGACTAAGTAATGACACTTTCGCTATCTCTTCCCATCATGTTGTGGAGTTGCTAATGCTAACGGTTAGCTTCCTAACACAATAAGCTGCTTAAGGATGCGTATCTTGTGAGCAGTTGATCTCTTTTTTGCTTAAATTAGACTAACTTTGAAGAACTTTGATGGATTTAGATCACATATATTACTAATGGTGACAAATATATCAGTCATGAGCTGTTTATGGGATTTACCTCCTCCAAAATACCCGTCATGATGGGATCTGAGTCTTTCTTCTGCTGCAGCTGCTTCTCCAGAGACTTCATACCAAGAGGTGCCTGCATTAAGAAATTATACCAGCAGTTGAGGTTAAAGGAAGAAAAAAAGGAAACAAATCCACTTTTTCTCCTTTAGCTTAACTAGTGGCAACAGTTAATCCCAATGCTTCTCTGTGCTTCTGAGCATCAGGCTGACTTGAGAAAACAGGCTTTAGACCATGAGAGGACCGATAAATCACTGATATAAACATATTTACAGTGTGTATGTGTGTGTGTGCGTGTGTGTGTGTGTGTGTGTGTGCGCGCGCGCGCGCGTGCGTACATATGGTATTCTCAGTACTTGGTGAGTTTATTGATTTGTTTTATTGACTTTGGTTAAATGTTGATTTGAATTTTAAAAAATGAAGATTCAAGAGTTGGTTCAATTCAGATTTCAAAAACTTAAATCTTGTGCGTCCACTGTTGTTATTAGTGACATTTTAGCATTAAAATAAGATGGAATAAGTTTATATATCAGCCATCAAAATCAACCCAAAACATCAGCAGCCTTATCGACCATCAGCTGTGACTTAAACTCACCAGCAGAAGATAACCCTCAGTTGATGTCCACTTTAGAAAACAATGAACTGCTCAAAATGTCCAAAATCAAAATTCCCAAATAGACAAAGAAATATTTTACCCTTCAACTACACAGTCTACAAAAATAAAGTCGTGACTCACAGAACAAAGATTTGATTAGAACACCGAGGACAGACAGACTGGGGTGATGGGAAAGCAGAACTGTTACCTGTGGAGTCTGGACACGGCCCTGCAGAGTAGGAGCAGGTTTCTGCACAACAGTGGGGGGTGTACTGGTTTGAACTTGGCGCACTGGAGCTGAGAAACAACATGACAGTCTACGTGAACTGATATTAAGGTTACTGCTGTAATGGAAAATAGTAACGTGGGCTAAATAAATAGCTTTAAAAGCTATTTATTTCTATTCTCATTACTTGTGACCGATAGCTGTAATACTCTATTAATTATGGAATATCACCTTGCTTGGTCTTAGGATGATTAATTAGAAGGTTCTAGGATTTTTTTAATTATTAAGGGATCGTTCACACTTTGTTTATGATTCAAGAACCAATCAGTGTTTGCAAACAAATAAGCATTTATTTTACAAACAATTAAGACTTGACAAATGGTTTAAACTATTGTCCTGTGAGTGGATGGAACTAAAAGATGGGTGTCTGAAAACTATGTGTGAATATGAGATGATGAATAAGAATCTCTGTATCTTCAGAGAGGTGCGTTCTGGATAAAAGGATTTGGTTTGCAGATAAGCTATAGGTTGTTATTTATCAAACTGCATACAGACGCTATCTGTGTGTCTACATTACCGTAGAGGCACCCTCTTGGTGGATCCGAAAGTCAGAGTGGTTGGATGACCACTGGCACCGGAGGGCTGTAGAGTACCGAGGTGCCCTACTTTCAGTCCTAGAGATGTGTCTCGGGTCACGACAGATGGATGGAAACCACGCGTCTTAAAATAACTCTGAAGGAGTTTTGCAAAATCAGCTTTGTTCTGCAGGAAAACTATCTTGTTGTTCTCAGCTTTGCAGGTGCAAAAAGCTTTAAGGTTTTGACAGCGTGTCAAAATCTTTCTGAGATAGAGATCTGCTAAGAGATGGCCAGTCTCCAGCTGTCTAACCCCACTGATGAGAAAGCAGAGCGGCTGTTTCATGGACTAATGGTATCTCTCTGAGAAGGTTACCAAGCTTTCAGAACACACACACTTGATGCAGAGACTCCGAGTCTGTGGCACAAGGTTAATCATGTGTCATGCATTTTTATCTTAGCTTTACTTCTTGTCTGGTGTAATGACGACCTCATCCTGTAAACATTACTAAAACATTGAGCACATTAATGAGACATTTCATTGCTTATAATTCTACATAACAAAAGTTCATTCAGTGACTATTTTGAATTATAAGGATTACTTTTAATTATGAAATCTTCTTTTCTTCTGGGAATAAAAAGTTCATTTAACTGGAGTTATGTGTGAAGAACCTTGGGGAAAGAATGCTACTGTTCATCTTTATTATCTGATGAAGGCTGTGATTAAAGAGACTGTGTGCATACACAAGACTCCTTTCAAGGGAAAATACAGTATAACGCCACATAGCCAGGGTTAGATGACCTAATCTCAATGTTAGGCCACCTCATGACGTTACACTGCATTAAATAAAACAATATATCGGCATCAATATCGCTATCGGCAGATGTTAGTCATTTTTTAACACATCGGTATCGGTCCAATGAATAAAACTGGGCCGATATTAACAACCGATATTTTTGCCATCTAGTTTACATTTGTTTATCTGTTTCAGAGGGTGAGGGGGGTGATGTGTAATTGTTTAGTCATGTGACAGTGATTGTGATCATCTCAGGAGCGTAAACGTGTGTGGTGTGTGTACTTAATAACGTAAATTCAACCTTGATCATTTTTATTCTATACAAAATCTGCTGATTTTAGAAGCATTAATGTCAGAATATTGGCTATCGGCCATAGCAGCGACATTGATATCGGATATCGGGCCAAAAATGTCATACTGGTGCGTCACTAATTAAAAGAGAATAAAGATAAAGACAGACTTCCTTACCCATTGTTGGCGGCTTGGTGGCTGAGAGCGGAGGGACAGCCACAATACTGGAACTGGAGCCGACAGATTTAGGAATCGTGGAATTAAAAAGAAAAGTTGGAGCTGGAGTCTCCACCGCTGAAAACCTTGGGAAAGAGAAAACTCCTCCGTAATGTGTGTATAAACCTTTCAAAACCCAGAGCACTTAAAACTGTTCCGTACCTCTCGTTTAGATTTAATTTGATAGCTGGAGGTGACGCAGCAGACAGGTTTTGAGGTGTTGAAGCTGAAGCTGCTGGGAGTTTGATGGGAGGGGTGCTGAAAGAAAACGTTGAAGGTGCAGGGGGAGTGTTGGAAGCCACAGAAAAGCTAGAGGAACCCAAACCAAGAGGGGCAGATCCCCCCAGGGGAAAAGTCGATGTGATTGAGGAGGTGGAGAAAGTTGTTGGAACTGAGAAAGCAAACGCCGATGAGGACGAGGACACTGGCGCAGTGGGGACAACGCTGAATAGGGGCGTGGAAGAAGGAGCAGCAGCAGCAGGGGCTGGAGCGCTGGAAGCAGCTGCTGAAGTAAGACCGATGTTTGGGAACAGCGCTGGAACCGACAGGACCACAGCAGCAGGTTTGGCTGGCTGGGACGTCAAAGAACCTTAAAGTAACAGAAAACAAAGCTCTTATTACACGTGTGTGTGTGTGTATGCGTTGTGTGTGTATTTGCTAACGCATGTCGACAGCTAAAGCATTTATTCCACTTCATTTTTTATCTAATATTCATAATATTGCAAACAAATACAATTCCATACAGAAACACACCAGGAAACCTAATTATAATATAAAATGATAGCCTTTAAAACAACATCTCATCATTGTGTTTTCAGATGAAACCTGAATGGGAGGAACACACCCTCCAACATGATCTGTTTAGGATTTCTCACCTGGCTTTGGCTGCCTCTCCCCCTCCAAGGCGAGAGGAACCGGGGGTGCCACCAGCTGTTTAACCCCAGGATTCTCGTTAAGAAGAGAAAATGGGCAAAGCAATCCCTCGGTGGAGAGCATCAGCATGGTGGGTGCTGGAGGCAACGTCTTCTCGTCAGCTTTGTGAAAGTGGAGAGTAAAGATGAAAGTTAGGACTGCAATCAATTTCAACAGAATGTACTGCATTTCAAAGATGTTTATAGGTTTGATATGATTTTTAAAATAATCAAAAACAAACACACATAAATTGCCAATGACTGTCGAAGTTTTACAGAAGAGTTGTAGCCTATTTTGGATCACATGCAATCACACAAGACTCCAAGATCTGATCTGACCACAACTTACACCAGGTGAGTGAGCGGCGCGGTCTCCACGATTCAATGTCAATGAAAAATACTTGTGTTTTGATTATGTCTGTTACCTAATCTAACATTTATTAGCTTGTAAATTTTGTGATTAAAATGACTACAAATCAAACGTCACACATGTGACCCCAGTGTAGCTACTACTTAACACATGGCCAGATTTATAGTGGTCATAGTGGATTTCATCAGGTTTAATTCTGCTTCTGTCGTCCTGGAAGAAGGATGTGAAGCTCGCTAAACTCTCAGCCATTTTTCATCTTCTTACTCGTGTCTGGTTCTATGGAGTATTTCTACAGTGAGGCGAGCAGCAGGAGTTTTCTACGGCTTTTCACATAAAACCTAAATGACTTTGCTGCTTGTCTAAAATAAGCGTTTCCTTGGCATCAAAATGTGTTCTTGAAATTCACCGACACCATATGATAAACCCATGGTGCATATCGAACGGGATCAGACAAAAACTTTCATCATTCCATAGTCTCTTTTTTAAGCAGTAGGGGGCCTTTTGTCCAGAAGTATTTGGGTGTGACTTGCGCCAGGGACACACCAGCCACCGAAGCGCTGCGAAAATGGGACCGCCTTCATTCGGCGCCCTTGTTATCCTATTCTATAAACCACATGGGCCGCCGAAGTGCCGTGCGCCGGCGCTCCAGCCTGCGCCGTGCAGCGATCGTTTCGGCGTCTGCTCTATATTTTTCGCGAGCCGCGGGTGAACCGCGTCAATTCTAGCAGGAAGTCAAACCTAGACATAAGAGGCAGGCCGGTAAATTTAACAAAATAAAACATTTCAAAATACAATTCCGCGATTGTCAAATGTGTTCGTAAACAGACACTGCGTAAAAACCACACACACACACACACACACACACACACACACACACACACACACACACACACACACACACACACACACACACACACACACACACACACACACACACACAGAACTTGTGTGTGTGTGAAAGGGGGTGTGGTTTTGGGTGTCTTTCAACCGGAGCAAACAGGACAGAGAGGCAGAAAGTCGTAGGCCAGCTATTAACATCTGGTTCACTCACACACGCACGCACGCGCACACACGCACACACGCACACACGCACACACACACACACACACACACACACACACACACACACACACACACACACACACACACACACACACACAGGTACAAACACACACACACACACACACACACACAGGTACAAACACACACACAAACAGCAAGGGGCAGGGGGGTGTAGAGGAAAAGAGCAGAGTAAAGGCAGAGAGGAAATGGAGGACACCAAGTGGTTAAAAGAAAAACTACGAGGCGCACCTCGACCGGAGCAGAGAAACAAGCGTCTGGTCTGAACTGAGGAGCAGCGAGCAGCGGCCGAATGTCATGAGCGCTTCGCCTCCCGGCGCTTCGGCGGCCGGTGTGTCCCTGGCCTTAGGCTCCCATGTGTTTGTATAAAGTTTTATTTATTTATTAACTTTTTTCAAGTTTTAAATTTTTATTTGAATTTACAATTAATTTTTTTAACTTTACAATGTGTTTTTAGCATGGAGCTGAGCCCATTTTGATGCCATAAGGCATGGACCCAAATATCAACAAACTAAGAGTGGATGATGTGTTTAAATAACGCATAATGTTAACAAAAAATGAATAAAGTTATCTTAAAGCATAGAACACTGATGTCTCTGTGATTTTACGAGTTCAGCTATGTGGGCAGTGGCATAACAGTTACGTGTCAGACACGCTACCATCTGGGTGACTGATGCTGCAAAGGCTGTGGCGAACGGCGTTGCTGCCGAAACGCGCCGTTCACACACTCGGTGTAAATTGAGTGTCACTATTGTAACGTTATGAAGTTCAGAATTTTCAGCTCCACACAGCTGCCCCTGTACACAGTAACACCCGTGTAGAAAACGCCAAGGTCGGGTGTTCCTCAGACTGTTTACATTCCAGGAGAAGAGCCAGAAGGAGAAGAAGAACGCTTTTCAATAATCAAAGTACTTAATTTGTGATTAAAGCTAATCGAAACAGATGTTGATCAATAATAATCAAGTGAATGAGCTGTGGAATAAAGATGTCATGATTTATGTGTTTAATGAAAACAGGACTACTGCACAGACAGACTGACCCTCATCTCCATAGAAACGCATGACACATTGTTCCAACCAATCAGAGCTTTCGGCTGCCGCAAGAGAATCTGCCTTGTTTTATATCTCTGAATTTTTGATAAGTTTTAATGAAGCGGATTGGACACTTTAAGTCAACAAGCCAGATTCTCTTGCGGCAGCCGAAAGCTCTGATTGGTTGGAACAATGTGTCATGCATTTCTATGGAGATGAGGGTCAGTCTGTCTGTGCAGTAGTCCTGTTTTCATTAAACACATAAATCATGACATCTTTATTCCACAGCTCATTCACTTGATTATTATTGATCAACATCTGTTTCGATTAGCTTTAATCACAAATTAAGTACTTTGATTATTGAAAAGCGTTCTTCTTCTCCTTCTGGCTCTTCTCCTGGAATGTAAACAGTCTGAGGAACACCCGACCTTGGCGTTTTCTACACGGGTGTTACTGTGTACAGGGGCAGCTGTGTGGAGCTGAAAATTCTGAACTTCATAACGTTACACTATTGTTAAAAATTCTCAGCCATTACCACTTCTGTTCGATTTCTTTTCAGTTGTCCAAGTTGGTTTTGTGTTTGCTAATGCTAGTTAGCAGCGGTGGCAGTGGCTCCAGACAATAATCAGTTGTAGATGAAAAGTCAGTAATTTCTAACATTTTCATTAAAAATCCATCAACTAGTTATAACACACACATATTGACACAGATACAGGCAAAAACATGATATCCTGCCACAGACAGGCAAACGTCCAGGCTTTTGGTGGTGGATTATTAAACCTGCACCATCCATCTTTATCTCCATTTCTGTTTTACCCTCTCACTGAGAGTTTATAGCTCTCCAACGAGAAACTCCAGAGTCTATTAATTAAGATTTGATCAAAGAGAGAAAGGCCAGAGGTTCTTGGGAGGAAATATTAGCTCTAGGCTCTAAAGCTAACACACATACCAAAGGAAAACAAAGGGATGGTGTTTGCTTGTGATAAAAAAAAATCCACTTTAAGAAAAAAGAATGAATAAAACATCTGCACACGTTGGCAGTGAAACCGTTAAATTGAACTTGGCTGTTGTTGCTGCATGTTTACTTTAAGAAGACACTCTATAGTCAAGTTTAAAGAACAATCTTGCGACGCCTCATTTGGTAAAACACAGCCCACTGCCTGCCTCTTCTTGCCAAACCCTAAAACCTTTCCTGCTCCTCACACCCACTTTGCTGCACTTTTCTAAATCTCACAGTTTGCTGTGAGCTACAGACCAAATGGCAAATTCATGTATAAACCAACATTTACAATGATTAAACTGCAACATTTATAACCTGGATTAAATATTCACCAGGCTGAGTTGATAGGCATTCTCCTAGAAATATCAGGAAAACAGAAGGCGAGAGGGAGATGAAGATTGTTGCTCTTTCTCAGCGTAGAGCTGTGTTTGCCTAATGCTCTGCATGTTTACTTTCTAGAGTCCTTTTTGTGCGCAATATGATGTTTGCAGCTCTGAGTTTATCATTTCTATGCAAATGTTCATATCCCAACACACAAATATGACATGTACAAGTGCACATTGAAGCTCTCATTCACTCTGTTTTTTCCAACACATTTGCAGTGGTCTCTAGTGTAAATAAAAGCCTTCTGTTTCAGGAACTAGAAGTAAAGCCTAGTTTATGCTTCTGAGTCTACGTGGAGACACGCAACACCATTTTCCGTTGTTGCAAGGGCTCTCCAACAGGCACCCAAGGACGAATGGAGTCCAGCTCACTTTCCTAATCATCCGTCAAACGAGATGAGAATGCAAGCTTGTGATTGGTCAGGACACTGCTTCCTTTAAATTAGTCAACAGCACTGCCATTGCACCCTCAAAAAATAAAGCGAGCCTATGGTATCTAGTGGCAGACATGGAGCAGATAGAAGTAGGGCTGCTCAATTAATCGAATTTTAATCACGATTACGATCTGAGTTTTGAACGATTATAAAAAACAAAACAAGCCTATTATTTGCTCCTCCCGCCTGCGCTGCCCTGAGTTGCAAATGAAGCGCTCCTCCCACAGTGTTGCCAACTTAGCGACTTTGACGCTATTTCCAACAGCTTTTCAGACCCCCTTCTTGACATTTTAACTTAAAAGTACCTAGCGAACACCTCAGAAACATCTCTGGTAACCCTTAGCTACTTTCTGGATAACTGTCGTCGACATTTCCTGCAGGTTAGCTAAACACTCCGCCTGCGCTCCGGACCGTTCTTCAGGACATTAGGAAAGGGAATGATGTAGTGACGTGTCAGTCGCTAAAGACAGCTCTCAGAGCCGGCTCCCTGTTGGATTAACCAGAGTGAGTGACACACACACCGCACCTGCGGACTCCTGAGCCACTAAAAACGGCTAAATGTGCGCGTGCGGCGTGCTAAACACACGTGCAGCTTGCCACTGATTGCTGTGAGACCGGGTTGGGGGGTGGGGGTGCAGCTGTGGTTGGGACAATTATTACATTAACTGATGGACTTGTAAATAGTTTATAAATAAGGTAGAAATAAGTTCCTCACGCTGATAATTAATAACTAATCTCTGAGGACACGGTGCTAGTGCACTCTCCTACAGCACCTTGACACGACTCAATAAATGTTACGCAACATTTTGTGAACATCAATTTATT